TAATGACTTATCATGAGAACAAACGTATTCACGTGACTTTAATAACATTTATTACTTAATGGAAACACCACAGTTGTGAAACAGTTTTTTCAACGTTAACAGAATATCGACAAAGTTTTGCGCACATTTGCGATGGAAACGCAGCTATTGGTATCAAGGGGCCCCAACATTCAGATGCAAGTCCCCCTACTTTGACCTGCATTAAAAAGAGAAATAGCTACAGGGATGAAGGAATACTTGTACCTGTTACTTTTCATACAGAGAAGTCTGAGCCGGTGGCMAAAAGGCAGAAACTGGAATTCAGTGTGTAAAGGATGAGAACTGTCAGCAAGAATAGWGCTAGTTTTCCTCATGATCTGTCTATTACAGTTCTGTAAGTGAGCATTGTTGAACTCCTATGATCTTATTACTTGTGTGTACAACTCTGATGAGTGCATTTTTGACTTAATGTTAAGATTTCCAAACCAGCAGAGGAGAGAAAAGGTATTCTTAACTTGTGCTGTACTGAAATTAGTTATGAACATTTTTAACCTCAAAAGTCCTGTTTTTCAATTAAAAGTTGCTGAAACAGCAAGTTTCTCAGTGGATCTGTGCTCCACAATGCAGCCTAGGTGGAGTAGTCGAAAACAGATCCAACAAACAACGTGGGCTACGTAGACAATAGGAGTTCTTTTTGGGGGAAACCTGGTCTGATATGGAGAGATGGCATTCATCCCACTTCGGCTGGAGCTGCTCTCCTTTCTAGGAATCTGGAAGATTTTGTTGACCACAGAAATGATTGACAACCCAGGGTCCAGGCCAGGAAGCAGAGTTGTAGTTTAACACACCTCTCTGCTGCTTCTCTTGTTACCCAACAAAACTGTGTCAGCCCCATGGACCAAATTAAATAAACATAAAAACAACTCTAGAAAAATAAATCATAAAAATCTTATAAAAATAAACAGTTATGAAGAAAATTAGTGTTTTACTGAAATCGTGTCTAAACCAGGCATAAACCACATGAATGTTGAAATGATTAAAATGTGAAGGGAATACCATCCAACCATCCAGTACTGGATCTGAACGGTGATTTTAATGTTTCAAACCAGAGCATCAGCTGCGTCCAGACCGACATCTGGAAGTCGGAGTTTTATCATTGTCTTCAGCATCCGGTTCCACCCACCACATTCCTGCAGCTGAAACTAGATCCTCAGACAGCATAAACTTTCCTAATGTTTAATTCAACGGTACCTATGTGTTGTCATGGTGCTCCAGACATGTAACTAAAACTATTTTAATCAAGACATAACAATAATCACACAATAGTTTATAGAAACTAGTAATTACAGAGGAAAATGTAGGGTTTTCCTCCTTCAATTTATGATTTCTGATGGACACAACTTGTTGTTATGACTGTTTGGTGAAAGAAGTCAGATATATTCATCTCAGACTTCTGTTAAGGATATGGCTCTGATCCTTGTGCTTCAAATTAGCATATCAACCACCATGGCGCCTCAGAAGACCACTGAAAGAATTTACATTGTCACATTCCTGTTTCCAACCCCCATAAGGAATGCCTCTTTTCTTCAAAGAAAAGGGGGTMGGGTCATAACATGCCTTTAACAAGACTCTTCCCTGACTTGAACAAAGGAAGCCACATGCTTGTTTAAATAAAAGAAGAAAACTACTCTGTTCTTTTTAACTGTGTTTGCCACTAAGAAAACTGTTCTAACTGTGTGTTTTTATTGATGAAATGTTTTTCTGAAAAAAAGATGTTTCTTTAAACTGTGTGATTACATGAGTTCATCTTAGAACCTTAGGTTTGAATTTAACTAAATAGACATTCTTATTTTACTGATGTAAAGCAGATGCCTCTCCCTTTAATTAGATGCAAGATAATTAGACTAAAACACTCCCATTCTTTGTCTGAAAAACATTGGTTTCCCTCCAAACATTTTGATTTGTTAAAAACTTTACCAAAGTTTTTCAATTGGCTAACTAAAACCTTGACTCCGCCCATAACAGAGGTTTTAAAGGTACACACAAGAAGACACACAAAGAAGAAGACGCAGACAGACGAGAGTACAGCAAAAGCCAGAAGCAGCTTCTAAGTTGAAAGACCCCCTCTTGCCGGGGGGGCGGGGTCATTCAACCTCTCCGCCATTTTGACTCGTATAGCTCGACCATCTAACTTTGACTCAAGCCTTGAGTTTGATTTTTAAAGGAGTCATAATAAGCTAATGGTAATTCAACGTCGTTTAGTCCGTTTTTCTACAAAGTGAGGATCAAAATTGAGTCTTGAAACCACTTGTTAAGAGTCAGGACCAAGTCACCAGAGGAAGGACTCCTTTCTGACCACGGGACCAGTCGAGTCTACCAGGCCGACCGCCTGACGTCCAGTTCGCATGAAGAGCCTGTCTGGAGAACCAAGCTCCAGAGATGGCCTTCCACAGCTGACTTCAACCACTCCTGGTACCCACACGGCAGAACACAAAGGAAAGGTGAACACTTGTCTTGGTGAAACACACACAGGTGCTCAGACCTAGATTTGATTTTTATCTTTGTAGGAGATTTGGTAAACTAAACATTTTTATCGACCTTAGTTTAGCTAGGAAGCCCTAGTTAAAACAACCACAGCTAAGCAGCTTATCCAACTTCACCTCCTTCAAAGCCTCAAAACCACTCCTCCGTGTTTATTTTTGTTTACATGTTTGTTTATTTGTTTGTCTGTCTGTCCATTCATTTGTGATAACAAACTCCCTCAGTTTACCTGGTTCAAATATGTCATTATATTCATTCATTGCTTGCCATAGTTGTAAATACATTTAATCTGTAAATAAATGGCTCGTGGAGAACGTGCCAATTTAAGCTAATCTCAATTTTTCTTTTGTGTCTTGATGAGATATTCTGATTTTGATAAGACAAGAACTCAGATCAATGTGGGTAAATTTATTCTGAGACTGGTTACGATAAAGTTACAGTTTTTCATTTCTTTCCTGGGTCAGTATCTGATCGAATTAAGAAGTGTGGTGCTCCGAGGAATGATATATTTTAAATATAGTATATGTAAATATAACGTATTTAAATATATTCACAAATTATATATTTCAGAATTCTAACTTTTAAATTACCCCTACAAAAATTATAAAATGGTGTTGTGCTTTTACAATCAGTAAGTAAATGATCAATAAATTTTTTCAAGTTACTTCATCAGAACAAAACAATAAAACTATTAGGTGTGGTTTATTAAACATTAGATCTCTTTCTTCTAAGTCTCTTGTTAGTTACTGATCTGATAACTGATCATCATATTGATTTATTCTGTCTTACTGAAACCTGGTTACAACAGGAGGATTTTGTTAGTATTAATGAATCCACTCCTGATAATTATTTAAATTTTCATGTTTCTAGACCTAGTGCATCAATCAGGTCAAGGAGGAGGAGTAGCTGCAGTTTATCAGTCAGAATTAATGTTGATGCCAAATCAGATATTAGTTATAATTAGTTTGAGTCTTTGTCCCTCAGTCTTTCTCATCCAAAATGGAAATCAGATAAACCACTACTACTGTCATTTATCATCCTCCAGACCCTTATTCTCAGTTTTTATCAGAGTTCTCAGATTTTCTGACTAATTTATTAATAAATATTGATAAAATTATAATAATGGGAGATTTTAACATTCATGTTGATAGTGAAAGTGATAGTTTAAATATAGCGTTTAGTAATCTAATTGAGTCAATTGGTTTTACTCAAATTGTCCACAGACCTACTCAGAGGCATATGTCCTGTCTGGACAAGAGGGCTCTCCTTTCCTCAGTCTCCTCGTGGAGAAAATTTGATTATATTGTTGAGAGACCAGCTGACCAGATTCATCATTTTAATTTTGAAAGATATGCAAAAGATCCTCTAAAAAAGCAGTAAAGCTGGATGAATAAGGGAATGTTGAAGAGAGGGGGAAATATGTTTGCCTTTACCGAATAATAATTCTGGGTAATCTTGTAGAAATGATGTGTGTGCATGTGTATGACTGTTAAAAATAGTCATGTGTGTGACTATTAAAAATAGTCATGTGTGTGACTATTAAAAATGTAAAAATGAGTTGTTCTGGTGAGTTTTGTTCAAGTTGGTTGGTTGTTCAAGTTTGAGTCTGTGTTACTGGCTGTAAACTGACATCATGAGTGAGAGGGACTTCCTGGTGTGTGAAGGGTGACTCCAGAAGTATTGTTAATGCAACAGTACAAGGAGTTGGTTTTCACCTAATGATGTTAAATTTACATTTTCCAATTTGCTGTGTAATGATGCCTCGAAGCATCTGTTGTATAGAGAAAAACTGGAATAAAGTTTTTACACAGATGTAGAGTTTGTTCACCAGTATCTATGAATGTGTTGATGTTTGGTCTCTGCAGCTCTCAGTGCTGGATCCTCACTTCTTACAAGAAGATTTTATTTTGTTTATGAGCTGAAGAACTGGACTGATGCTCAGACTTACTGCAGACAGAAATACACAGACCTGGTGACCATAGAGGACATGGAGGACGTGGACGTCCTGAACAACATGAAGGACATGAACAGAATGGTCTACCCATTATACAGCTATGTAGGTTCACTATTTAAAACTAAATCTGATCAGATTTACGGCACGTTATTAGTGATGTCTTAGCTTCTAGGTGAAAAGTAAAAGTAAAATATTTGTATTGAATTTTCTGTGATGTTAAACC